CCCCCCCCCCCCCCCCCCGATTCCGCAGGAGAAATGATTATTAGGAATTTAATGGGGGAACGTTTCCCATCCCACACCATCTGGGGCTTGGGAATGGCACAAAATTTGAGAGCGCTTGCCGACATGGTGGGGAACATTATTTTCATTTTTCTTGACTGGTGCTCAGATTTTTTAGACATCCCAGAAAAAAAAGGGTCCTTATTACAATGAATCACCACCATTTATTTCACATCTAAAATATGCACGAAGATGGATTTGTGTTTGTTTGGCTGTCTTTGGAGAATGTCCCACACTGTTTTTCAACTCCTGACATGGTTTTTTTTTTTTGCATTTTGCATTTCCCTCTGGAAACACAATCCTGCAGTTCGCACATGTTCCTCCATACAGTGTACACTACATCCCCTATTTCTGTCCTTAACCTCCCACACAGACCCTGGCCATATGCTCCCTCTTTCTGTGTCTCTCCCCCTCTGTCAGCGCCAGGCTTAATGAGCTGCATGAATGTAGAGGTGCGTGTACACGTTTGACGCCGAGTTTAACTGCAGCATGCCGCCCTGTGAACCCTGTGGGTGTAAGGCACCCTCCTCCCTTTGCCCCTCCACACCCTCCCGCCTCAGCCTCTAAGAAGCCCCAAGAGAGATTTGGGCCTGTCTCTCTTTCACAAGCACACACATACGCCGACGTCCAACCACACACACACATACAAGGTGAGAATCTTACTGGCCGGGGCAAATAAGGCCTGGTAATCTAGTGGGATGAGGCTCAAGTGGTGCATTTAGGGCTCCAGAGGGACCACCAGCAATTCTGAAAAGAGGGATGAGGGGAAAAAAAAGGAAGACAGGAAAACAATTCATTTGAAAAACACTGTTTTTTTTCTTTTTCCGATTCAAACTCTTTGAATTTGTGTCTCTGCTTACAGCCTTATTTTTCTGGCCGTGCTTTACACCGAACACGGCATTTATTTCATCATCTCCATCAGCATGAAACAGAATTAAGCTCGCCTGCTTTGTCCAACCAGTTGCACAATTAATTTTCTTTTCTTTGTTGAGCTTCCTTCATTTGCTGCTTGTGATTCCTTCTTCATTACTGGCATCAATTTGCATGATTGAATTAGACATTTGCCAGGTATATACACTAGATTTAATTTGCTTGACATGTTTGGAGAAATTAGATTCCTAATTTCATGTTCATGCCTTTTGACAATGATGAGGGCTGACCTGACATCACTTTTCTTTACATGGGGATTTACAACCAAATTCAAGCTTTTCACACTTTAAAATGTAACGTTTAGCCAACTTGAATAATTAGTGACCTGATTCTACTTGTTACAAACTAACATATAACCAGGGAGGGGAAGGATTTGTTCAAATGTGGGGAGTAACCGAACAACATATGTAAAGAGTCGTAAATGAGATGGTATTGTTGCACAGGTGAACTTCCTTTTATACTCATTACAGATTTGGCAGGCACTTCCTACTCTCAGTTGGAATGACATGTTTCTCCTCCCGCACGAGAGCCTGCTAATTGGGAGCTTCTTTCAGAGATGTGGTCAGTGTTCATGGCAGCAGATATCAGGTCTTCAGGGTTGTGAAGGTGTTGCTGCTCGCTCATTTCTCTCCTGTCCAACACTGGCAACATGCACGATCACAAGTCTAAACGCTCCAAGTTAAAGTGGCACCGTTTGTTCTGTCTTCTTAGCATCGGCTGTTGTGCATTTTTATTAAGTGTAATGCGGGATTTGTGCAACAAGTCTTTGTAAGAATTAGAAAACGCACCAATTGCCATATGTTTTGTTTTTTAAGTCAAGGGAAACCTTTTCCAGGTGTAAGTGAATGCACAATGAAATAATGTACGATTAGTACTACATTTAATGCCATGACCTGCTGCATAAAACGGTTTAAGGTAAGTTAGTCAGTAAAAATAAATAAAAAGAAAGAAATCACGCCAGTAAAAGGGAGCGATACCGTTCCAGAAATTAACAATCAAGAGCTGGAAAGTTTCCAACGGGATTTTTTCTTTTTTCAAATTATTCAAAGCTTTTTTTGGTCTCGCAGGGATGGCCAGGACTCTAGAGCATTTGTCCCAGGGGATTGTCGGATCCACTCTCTTCAAACGGAGAGGATCAAGTGCCTGTATGATGTCCAACTCCTCCGGTGCTTTTCTGACACAAATCAACCATCTAATTAGCTGGAAGTCAGTCATTTTCACATTAAAGTTGTTTTCCTGATAAACACAAACCCCTGAATATTTGGAGTTGATAGCAAAATTAGTTTTAAAATGTCCATTTTATCATACGCTTTCTAGTTACGGAAATTATGTCCCCAGATTATGTCGCTCCTACTAAAGGCCTCAGAGGTTTTGCACGATTATTACGCGATTAATTTTGGTAAAAATAAAAACCAAAAATGAAGATCTTAGATTTAGCCCCCGGCGAATTTATGTATTACTATCTCTTAAATTGTATTGTTATTATTATTCCCAGTTGCCATCTGCTGTCGATCATTGCCACAGAAAGCTGAGAAGCTGGGCCACAACATAACGCCTCCTACAGCCTCTTCTTTTTTATTTCATTGCAACAGACACATCACAAAACAGTAACACATTACTTCACGAATTTTTCGATCCATAACGAGTTTTTAGCAGTGCCTGTGTGAGTCCGTGAGTGGTTTGTGTGTGTGTAACTGATCAGCAAATGCAGGAATACACGCTTCCGTTCAATGAGCATTCTGCATTCCGTTAAAAGTTACAAAATCAACAGGATTTATGGGCACAGTCACCAACATTGTGCAGGAATACACGAAGTGCACCGCAGCTGCTCCACGGCGGGAATGAAGGTAAAAAGTTCACACCAGACAGTAACGAACTTTCATTTCGTTGCATATTGATGGTCATCGTCTCTTTCTCTCCCCTTCTTTTTTCTTTTTTTTTCTTTTAAGGCATGGGACATTTTGCTCATCTAACACAAAATGCTTTTCTTTCCAGTGCTCGACTTTCAGCTGGGGTGAAATATACAACAATGGAACATAAACAAACTTCAAACGTGTAGAAATTCACATAAAGATTTCACACTGTTGGATTTTTTTTTTTTTTTTTTACAATAGTTGTTTCTATAATTCACATTATCAACATTCAAATGGACGGACTCATGATGAACCAATAAATAAATAAATAAATAAATAATTAAATAACTAAATACAATAATAATTTACATTCACCTCATAACTGCACTATTTACTCCAAATACAGATGCTTTTCATTTTTGACACCCTCTCCCATAAGTTCTCCTAATTATGGGACCAATTCAGGTAACAGGAACGTCATCAGTACCCACACCCCCACCCCCCCCACCCGAAAAAAGTGGTCTAATCATTGTCCAATAATTGACTTTCTTTCTATATGATCCACAGGCGTCCTCTAAGACCATATGTAAATTTCTTAAAAGCAAAGATTGCATTTGGCTGCCTTGCATAGCACAACTGACTTTTATTGCTAACAGACTGATTCTCTGACCTCCAATCATGTCTCAGCAAACTTCCCTGATGCAGCAAAACATCTTCAGTTTCTTCTTGGAATATTTCAAATAGTTTCCAATATTTCCTTCCCCCAAAAAATTCATTCAGCTTATTTCAGCGAGTCCTTTAGATAAAAGCGTGTCCCATTTACCCAGAAACGTAGAACCACGAGCATCTGCTGCGTCACCCTTAACAGAAACAAGAATTTGCTAGATTGCGGTTTTCAACGGATTGTTTTACATTTGAGGTGTGACAGAAAAGTAGCACCGATTCATTAAATCTTTGTTTTCTATGAAGAAATCTCAGGCATGTCAGTCTAAAAACGTCTCACTGTTGGCGTGATTTTTATACAACAAAATTAGGTTTTCAGCTGTCTTTCTTCGATCTTCTGTCGTATAAATTAAGTGGGAGAGTGACTGATTATAATGAAACCTTTTCATCAAAAATGACTTTTTGTTTTCACCTATCAAAACATGTTGTGCGTCAGCGTGTTAGATCCCATCTCGTTCTGCTCGATATCTGTGCGGGAAACCGACTCTAAAGCATAAACTTTTTTTCTTTTTTTTCCCCCAGCTGCTTTATTAGTTGTGAAAAGAACCATTTACTTCTCCTTGTGCTTGAAAGGACTGGCTGCGCACGTGAAGGTCGTAGGGGAAACGGGCCTCTGGGGACACCCGGTACATGGAGTTATGCGCCAGGGCCGCGCGTCCCGGCGCGCCGCAGTAGCGCACCCCGTAGTGACCGCCCTTCCCGTACTCTGGGGGCTCGTCGTGTTTCAGAGAGAAAATCCCGTTAAAGTTCATCGGCGGGCTCATTTGTCCGTCGAAATGCGGACTGCCGCTCTCCGGGGACGGGTTCTCGAAGTAGGGCTCGTAGGCACCGCTGTAGCCGTAGTGGCGGAACGGCTTCGCGCCGGTGTCCAAGCCCCCGCCGCTGTGGCCGGGGGGCGAGCTCATGTCCGAGCCGGGGTACGGGTACATGGCCTCGTACGTGGATCTGCTTGAAAACATGACTTCCCCGTTGTGGTCTGTGAGAAAATTTCTCGCGTTCAACTGCAAACAGCCGGCCACCAAGTTGGTCGTCGGCTGGGATAATCCTTTGCACAAAGTCTGCACGAACGCGAGCAGGTCCGGTCTCTTGCCCGCGCTGAGAGTCTCCGACAGTGCCCAGATGTAATTTTTCGCCAGTCTGAGCGTCTCAATCTTGGACAGTTTTTGAGTTTTGGAGTAGCACGGCACAACTTTGCGCAAACTCTCCAGTGCCGCGTTCAAGCCGTGCATCCGGCTGCGCTCCCGGGCGTTGGCTTCCTGGCGTCGTAGTTTGGCCCTGTCGTTCTGCTCCTTGCCCGGTTTCTTTTTCCGGGGGCCTCGCTTTTTAGGAAGCCCGTCCTCGTCCTGGTCGTCCTCCCGGTCGTCCTCCTCCTCCCTCTCGGAGATGTCGTCCTCGACCTCCCTCATGTCTGGGTTGGACCTTTCGGGGTTGCGCTGGCGCCCCTGCTCCAGGCTCTCAGGTAAGCTTTCACGGGGATAATTGGCACCAAACCGCGGCTCACACATCACACGAGATTCCTCGAATGGCAGCGTCAACATATTTGCTGTGGAATAAAAGCGAATATGTCAATAATAAGGGCAAAGTACAGCCCCCACGTCTTTTGAAGGTTGTCAGTTAATTACCTAGTGAATGAGTCCTCCCAAGAGGAAGAGAAGCAAATTGGCAAGCAGGGCCAATGTCACAGCTTGCTACCTTTTTTAAAAAGCACTCAATTTCGTTGTATAGTACTTGTGAGGAATTTAAACCTTTTACTGCTTAAATTAGCAGATGAAGTCACCGTAACTATTTAAATCACAATGCAAAACAAACCTGTTCAACACTTATTCTAGTCATCCTTCGAACTCTCATTAAAATCCACAATCCAACAAAAGCGTAAGTTAAAGAATGGCATACCAACCTCTGGTCAGCGTGCACCGTGCATGGTCCCAAATATCTCCACTGAATCTCTGCGGCAGCTTCTTCTCTTGCAGACCACGGGATTGAAAGAGAGCTAAGACCTGCGCAGCCTCTTCTCTCCGCCTCGCTGAGATCTGCTCTCCCCTTCCCTCTCTCTTTGAGGAATGACACTCATGCCAACCGCGGGTACCCATGCCATCTGCCGCTGACGTCTTGTGGCAGCCGAGACCACGTGCTCAGCCTCCCGCGGGACCTCCGTTCCGTACCGATCATCTGGCAGCTCCGGTAATGGGCACCGGGAGGCCTGCGTTTACCGTCAGAAACACAGACCGGAGAGGGATAACGACTAATACCTGCATCTCCCCGAGAAAGAAAGATGAACTTCTGAATGGGAAGAGGGAGAGATGTAGAGAAGCCATTAGACATTTCAAATAAAACAGATACATTCAGTGACATAATTGTACAGCACAACCAGAGAATCCCCAAATGAATGTAACACCTTTTTTTTTGTTAAGTTACTCAGAAATGTCCTTTAAGCAGTTGTTTATTTGACCCATATGTCATAACCCTCATCAATTAGCTGTTTGCTGTCCTTCTCTATAGTTTGATAGAGGACATTTTTTAGTGACATATTGTTTTCACAATTTATCCATAACACCTCCCTGGGCCATTCTTAGATATATTTTTGCCATTAATCGTCACATTAAGTAAATCTTATAGAATTATATAATGTGATGATGTTATGAGATGCTGAAAAAGAAGTGAACTTTTCTTCTGTTATGTCACAAAATTAACCTTTTTGAGACATTCCTGAAGAAAAGTCAACTTTTTTTTCATAATTTCATAACAGAGAAGAATTATAATTGCAAATACCTGACCTTGACTGTAGTTTGTCCCATGCTAAGGTGTTCTTACAAACATTTACACAATAAGACAGACGAAGGGTACCTCACTGGCACAAGAAAACCGTTCCATTACAAAGTCAGCACAAATTAAAGGTTAGAAACACACTGTACTTTGACTTACAAGTTAACAAGCAAGTGAACAGTGCACTAAAGGTGCTGATGGCATTTCGTCTAAAAAGTCTACAACTGAAAACAACAGTACAAAAAAACATGCCTGCACTCTTCTTCTGCACTCTTCTTCTGTTAATCCAAACATGGGCCAAATCGTATTTGTTCTTTACATAATAAATAAGGCTATATAAAATTATCAGCAAGTTTATAACTCCCACAAAAACTAAATGCAGGACTTTTTTACTGTCCATTTGTTTTAATGTCCTTTAAGTCAATTTTCTCTGTTAAACCTCAACCCATCAAGACCAATGAAGCCAATTTCATATGAAAAAATGACCTGTTATCAGTTAGTAGGTGTGTTTATCTTACGTTTACCACTAGCCTCAAATGACATAATCCAGAAGATAAAATATGTTTGAGAGTAATTGTCCAGAAAATCATGCGATAGACCGTGTGTATGCTTCAACAACTTTTAATGCGACTGTTCTGAGTGGCTGGGCTTCAGGTGAGGTAAATCATAGTGTGTGTGCTAATGATGGTGAATTTGTCTGTGCTTTTTCTTGTTTAGCAGTGGCTGGATTAAGACAATGTCTTCTAAGGTCAATTTGTCAATTTTACATCATGATTCTACCGTCACACCATTGCTTTGTTGACCCTTTAACATCCCGCCAAACCACTTGGTCATAGGATACACTACACTACACTATAGTGTACATTTACTATTTTAGAGTATACGGCAGAGGCCACAGGTATGTACAGTGTAACGGGCCACACCAGTATAACAACCTGTCCTTATCCAACAGACGGACACAAACTAAACCTTTACAGGTGTAGCTTTCTTTAAACCTCTGCTGAATGATATTATTCAAGGTTTTGTCGAAGACTGCCACTTTCTGTTTGCAGTGACGGAGAGTCCTGCAGATTGGTTGCTGCTGACCACAGCAAAATGGTGGGATTGAGCTCTTTCTCTGTCTTCAACTCTTCAAATAGAGATCTGCCAGAGAGGTGTTTCAGTAGTGACACAACAAGGATTTAAAACAATCACGAGGTTTGACCAAAGCCTGTCCATGGAGTTACTCAAAAGCAGGAAAGGAATTCTAGCAACGGAATGCAAAGCCGTACGTACATGTTTTGTCGATTGTTTACTCCTCAGGCCGATTTAGGACCACGAACGAAAGTTTAAAGTAGTATCTGATGTGTATTGTGCTGTTAGTGTCATGAAAAAATCTGATCCAAGTCTCACATGCGTGGAAGCCTGAACGGCTTTTGACCTCGTCCCAGAAACATTTACAACTTTTTGGGGTCCTTCAGTTCTCTAGATAACATGGCAAATAACAAATATGACCAACGTTCATCTAGTCACAGGGGAAGCCCCAGTGTGGGGCACAGCAAGCCACTTTACTGTGAAAAGGGAGGATATTCTTGTTTTATTCAATTCACAGGAGGGAAAACAGAAGTTTTGTCGTAGTTCTTTAGGCCCAGCTGCCCAATCCATGAATTTTACATGAACTTATGTTTGTAATTCAGAAGGTATATTTCATCACCACCCCACCCACACTCCCCACCACACACACACACACACACACACACACACACACATACAGAGGACTAAACTAAATTTGCAGTCTCCTACAGTACCCTGAGATAAACTGAGGACCTGTCCATTACACTCTTAACTGGACTGAGCGGGTATAGAAAATGTATGGATGAAAAATCCCTTACTGTCATGATATTTTCGTAACAATAAGGAAACACTTTTGATGTTTTAACCAAAACAAGTCAGGACTAAGACTGAACCCAGTGAGTCAGTGATGTCAAACACGACTAAGTGATGCTTCCAAGGCAACACCATGTATGACAGAACATTTGCTTCATCACTAAAGATCTTTAACTCTGCCTCATAATGCAGGATTTTTTCCCTAGTTCTTGTCCAACTCTGGTCCTGGAGGACCTATGTCCCTGCTTCAGTACACCTGATTAGAAATAAATGAATCCATTCCAGCGACTGTTCTGCTCTACACAAGCCTGCTAATTGCGCATTGATGTGAATCGGACGTTTTGAAGCAGGGGGCACTTCCAAAACTGCACTGAATACAAATAATGATTCCATTCCCATTTTTCTTCAGTTGTTTAGCCTATCAGTCTGACTTCCAAATACATGAAGGTTACTGTGGTGTGAAGCAGAAAGAGCTGTATCCGCAAAGTCTTAGAAAATAAAAAAAAGTTTGGCATGAAAATAGATTGACGACAGTAAAAAAAAAAGAAATTCCAAAGGACACCTTATATGGAAAAGATGGCGTGAGTTAACGAAGAGGTGTGAACGGCGTTGGTGTGTCTCGGCATAGACATTAAGCACACCCAACGGAAAAAGGCCCAGTGGCACGCTGCCAAATCCACAGTGGGGCACAGCTGGCATTCGATGTGGGTACGTGCACTCCTCCAGTTATGTGGAACACTCACGCACACCGCCGCACTCTCCAGCGTATGCCTGTGAATGACCTTGTTGCAAAGGAGAATCACTTAAAGCGGCTTATCAATCTCTTTGCATCGGACAGTGCGAGACATCGATCAGCGGTCCGGCATCGTAAAAGCTGATTGGTGTGATTCCGGAGCCCCAAGTCTCACCTTCCACGGCGATAATGACGGCGCGCACCCACTGTGGCGAACGTGCAAACACTTCACCTGATGTGAGAAGTAGCAGCGAGCACGTGTTCACACCAATGCAGGCGACTGTGCATGTGGACAAGTGGATATCATACGTGAACACGCCAGAAGATTCGCATATGGACGTATGAAATTGGGGGGGGGAAAAAAAGCAAACAAACAAGAACAACAAAAACAGCCCGTTCGCCGCTGCCCCTTCCCCTTAACCCCCGCAGAATAAGAAATGCCTCAGCTGGTGTGCTGATCGTTCTGGTCCAGTACACTTGCTCACACACCAACACACACTAACACACACACACACACACACACAACACGGCAGCATCTGAAGAGTCAAACTCCCCATCTCAGACTAATCAGTTGACTGCACTAATTGCAAATGCAAATATGCAAATTTATATTAATTAATTACTCCACTAATTAGTTCTCTTGTCTTTTCAGGTAATAAATCATGGTGTGGTTGAGAGGGAAAGAGGGAAGGCGACATGGCGAGGATCTTTTGTCTGCTGAAATCCTTTTTCTCAAGCCTGAATCTGTTTTTTTTAATCAAACTGTTATCTACTAAGACTCCTTCACTTTTTGTTTTATTCCCCTCACTCTTATATCTTAGTTAATTATTGCATTTGTTATTTTAAGTGCCACGCTTCAAGGGTGGCCGTATTATAATATGAGAGGTATATCAAACGCAGAGGTTGGTAAATCAAAGAGTCTGCCTGACAGTTCGTGCCTGTCAGCTCCTTTAATTATCACATTATCAGCTTTTATAGGCACAGTGCGTGGTGCAGAGCTGCAAATGAAGGCACCACACATCGCACGCTGAGTCTCAAGCATTTCTCAATTGATGTCAGCAGTTAGACGGAATTTGTGTTGAGATGATGGGTGCAAGGTGGAGTGGATAAGACGGTAATGGTGTGGCAATGCAACACGATCCTGTCCAACATTTCGTAGCGTTCACATGTTGCAGGTTAATTCTTTAGTTAAGCTCTGTGCAGCGACTTGGAGTGTTGTTTCAGAATTGACGCTGACTCTGTAATGAGCCCTGTAATGGTAATTTTCAGTTTCTCAATGACAACTCTCACTATTTATATTGCATCGGCTTGCGCGGAGCTCCATGTGCAATTAACTAAACGCCAAGCACAAAGGCTAAATGAGGAAGTGCTTACGCTGTGCCACGTCCAAGTACAAGCCATCTATTTTGAGGACTTGTTGATACCCAGATGAACACTTCAGTTGTTTATGATAATCTCAGCATCTTGTTCTCATGCCATAAAGATGTTGCGGAAGGATTTACTGTGTTTTCAGAATTTATGAGGAGTGTTACTCAAGTATATCCTTATCTTGCTTTTCATTTGTTTAACTCGGCAAGAGTTTAAAAAGCCATTTCTAGACTTTGGTAACAAGTCACTTAAGATCTTAAGATCAAAGAAAATTTGTATGTATATTTTAATGAACATGCATTCATGTTGACTCTTTATTACTATGTCACATATATAAATATATATATAGGAGAGAGTACT